TCATTCATGATATATCCTGAAAATATATAAACAAATCATTCTCAAGTAAGCCCTATGGTGACTAAAGCAAAAAGGGGAATCTAGCCCAAATTTCCATAAAATAATTTTTAAGAGGTGTCTAGAACTTTTATCTTTTGCAGTGGCTTAGTGATTAATACTGGTACAGGAGGTCTCAGAGATTAACAGTTGCTTCCTTGCAAAAAGGAATAATTGGGGAAGCATGAATATTAACTTTTTTAGGAGGGGGAAAGGAAGAGAAATGGATTTCAGGAAAGAACAGCTGTGTTGCAAACTGAAACAAGGATTGAAAAATTTTAATAAACTTAGGATCTTGGTTAAAATTAAAATTAAATATCTCAGTATACAGTTTGGGAAATAACCTAGCAATCAAGGTTAAAACCCATTAATAGTTCTGGAAAAATTGGATGGATGAAGCTGATATGAGACACAAAAGCAGAGAGAGAAGCTGTGTGAGCATAGAGCAGCTGCAGGGTCCAGATGCAGGTGGTGACATCTCCATATGCGAGGGAATTGCTGGCTGAGGGGATTATGCTGCTGCTGCCATCCTTTGGCTGTACATGACCAGGGAAAGCAAGTGCTCCTTGTACTGATGAGGCTACACCATTTTATGCTACCCAAATATTGCATGACCGTGTAACTGAATGCAATAGCCAGTAATTTCCCTTTGGTTTTCCCTTTCCTGTCAAAAAAACAGGCTTCAGCTATCAAATGCCCCGAGTTGATACAGAAGGACCTCTAGTAATAGCTTGACCAAATAGTTTTGTTTTTTTTCCTTGAAGTATTTGGTCATGCCTTTGCATGTGTAAGTCTGGGTGATTGTGTACATACACAAACACACACACAATTCTCTATATTTTGATAATGCTTTTACTACTGTAGTAAGGATGAACCAGAGACATGTGAGTGCTTTAAAGATAGCATCTTAATAAATTCCAGCCTTCCAGTCTTCCACTTTGCTGATTATGGTGTTCAAAATTGCACATTTGAGGTGAATTGCTTTAAAAGTACTGGAGATTGGGATAAAAGGGTTCTGAGAGAGGAAAAAAAAAAAAAAAGAAAAAGTAATGTTCCAATAAAGCTGTTATCTCAAGTCTTGGAGTAATCTTATTTTTTTGTAAAATGCTTCATTATAACTCAGAAGCAATTTTCTACCCAGGTTACAGCAATTATGTTGATTGTCATTAACCATGCAATATGGAATGAAGTGCAATCCTGTAAATAACACAGGCATAGCACATGAATACTGTATACTTAATTGGGGTCTCAGCTTGAAATATCCCCTGGTTGACAGTGAAAGATAGACAACATTATCCTAGGTGTAACCCCACTGAACTTATACACCACAAATATCTTACTCTTCCATGCATGTAAGGGAATTGGAAATGGTATCCTGAAAATGATCTAAACAAAATGCAAGTCTTCCATGCTTTCAAACCCATGACATTGATTCTCATAATGGCCTTGGACACCAAATAACTCTCACTGTATGCTCTAAAGCATTTCCAGCCTGAGTACTGTTATTAAAATGCCGAGAATTTCTCAAAGAAACTAATTTGCTATTTTCCTTATTATGTTATATAGCTTAGGACATAAACACTTGCATGCCCTGGTAAAGGAGAAAATTGGAAAAGCTAGCAGCATCCTGCAGCACAGAGTTTAAATTAGAAAATGTATATGGATAGTGTGCCTTGGAGACCTCTATTGCCTCCTCAGCGGGGTCAAACAAGTACAGACACTGTTAAGAGTTACAGTAACAAGAAACCAAATGTATTTCCAACAAGTAAGGCAATAAAAGCATTTTTTTATTAGCTATCTACAAATAATATAAATTCCTATATATGACCCAATAGAGAGGGATTTTCTGCCAAGATCATAGTCATGGAATAATTCAAGCTAGAAGGGCCCTCTGGAGGTCACCTTGTCTATTTGCCTGCTCAAAGAAAGCCTGGCTAGAACAGATGGTTCAGAATCTCATCAAGAGTTAGTTACACATCTCCAAAGAAGGAGACTCTCTCATCTCAGAGGATCCCTTTTCCAGCGCCTGACCACCTTGACCCATGGCCTCAAAAACCAAACTTTCCAAAGCCTCTGAATGACCATGGCCTTCCTGTGTTACAGTGATGGTTTGAAAGTCATCTTACACACAGTGGTCTCCACAGAACCAGAGAAGTCTCCAATGATGGAGTGCGTGGAGGTGCCTTAGTCCTGCATCACCTGTCTCAGCAGGGCTCCAATGCTGCTGCAGCACTTTGAGGCTCCAGGGAACTGCTGTAGTTTAGGTTCAGGAGAGACTACTCCTGGGGAAGGCAAGTGCAGAACTGCCATTTTTCACACATTGATCGTTTTGCTAATGACATTAAGAATAAAAAAATGAAGCCAGATATTTGTAGTGGAGATTTTAAAAAAGAAAAATCCACTTTGCAACCTTCTTAATAGCATAAAAAAATACCTGTATAAATTTTAGAACTAGCCTAATATTTACATTTAGGCTGTGCCTTAATGCCAAAATACAAACAAAGGATTAGATTTATAAAAATGTAAAATATAAATACCTAATAATGTTCAATATTTGCATGGTACTTCTCATTCTTCAGATTTTTAGCTTGAGTCTTTTGCCTTCATACACATAAACAAGAAAACTTTAAAAAAATGAACCAAAGTCCTAACTAATCACTTCTGCTAAGGATGTGAATTCATGGGCACTTATTTCCATGTGGGCATCCCAAAAATCTCAATAGTTATCATAGCCCTTTCTCTTCTAGTATACATTTCATCAACATTTTCCAGAAAATTAGAGCGACTCCTGTTGCACTGATCGAGTGGCCAAAGGGGACAGCTAAAATGTGACATAGCAACATCCCCTGGTGAAAAGAAGTGCCTACAGGCACTGAATTTAAAGCTGTGTTTAAGTTGACTGAGTTATCAGATTGTGTTTAACAGCAACAGTGATACTTGTGGCAGACAGAAGGTTTTGGAGCAGATACTGTTGTAGCAGAACAATTTGCATGTGATACAGTATGAATAAATACAAAGTCTAAATTCAATTCCCCACCAATTAAAAGAGTGCCTCAAGACTAAAAATCATTACTATTGAGACCACTGCCTCCCTGGCTGTCTTTGGAAATGTTCCAGCAAGAGGCTGGATTCACCCCATGCAGTATGATTTCTCTGCTGTATTAGCCACCCAGCATTTCATTAATGACTTTTCCTTCTCCAGTCTCTTCTTCCATGGAATCATAAAATAGTTTGGGTTGGGAGGACCTTTAAAGATCATCCAGTCAAAGCTCCCTGCAATAAGCAGGGATAGCTTCAACTACATCAGGCTGTTGATATTTGATAAATATAAATTAAATACTTCCACTCTTGCTTATATTTATCACAGCTTTACTCCTCTATAAGGAGAAGGTTATCATGGGGTACTGAAATACAACAATCTGGCATTTCATTGAAGACTAACATAGTTATTTCTGTGAACTGTTCTCTGTGAGACTTCTGTGGTGCTAAGAAGGTCTTGCATGTCAAATGTTCTACTTGTAACACAGCCCATAGGCATCAGAAACACAACCAAACCCATCCACTCATTAAGATCTGACAGTATTTTGTAAATAGTATTTTGTACCTTTCCAGAAATAGAAAGTAAAATTTAGGCCTTCAGAAACTCAGGAAATCAAGAAGTAAATGTGAAGCCCTAAATTTAATTATTCATCCAGACACCCCTTTCATAGGTGGAACATAAGAGGAACAGATGGAACACTAGAAAAATACATAAGCCCCAGTTCTTTATTTAGTTACACCAATAAATTATATTAGCTTCCTTCAAACAGCACAGTGCAGTCATAAAAACAGTAACATATTGGTTGGTTTGACAAAAATCATTAATTCCAAGTAAACTTTCAATGGAAACCTTTTTTTGTATTAGCTGGGTAAATACTACTAAGTTTTGCTCTCTGCTGACCACAAACTTGATTGTACCTCTTGAATTATAAATTTTCCCAGTTGTGCCCCAGCTTGTAATGACCAGCAAACCGACTGTGAAGCTTCCTTCCCTCCAAGCCATAGGCTGCCATAGGAGATCCTGCCAAGCTCATATTATCTCCCTGTGTAATTACAGCTTTTTAGTTCAGTGGGGTGTGATTAACTCAAGCTGTAACTCATTAAGTGCACTATAATTACAGTGCACTCAGCTTCACAGTTGGTTTTGACCTAGAAAGGGTGTGTTCCTGGGGTTATTTTAACAATCTGTTGGCAGTGCTCACAGGCACTACCAGGCCTCACAAGGAAAACATCTGAAATTCGACAGGCACTTGACAGTCTTGTTAGTGGCTGCCAGTGTTAAATGTGTCTGGATATTTCTGAGCATTCTGTATGTTGGTCTCATCCATGTGTCTTAACTAACACATCAAGTATATCTCTTCTTTTAGCAACAAATGCCCAGTGGGGGAAAAAAGAAAAAAGTTTATTTATTAACTATGAGATTGTTAATTTTTGAACGGAATAATCAAAAATATAAATTCACAAGTATTTACACAGTAAGTGCTGGCGTTATGAAAGGCAATAAAAATTACAAGCTGTGCACAGGAGAAACCTCATTTTATGTTAAGGAATTATATTTTAGTGCAATTAGGGCAGCAGATGCTTAATGTCTGGCCTGAAAAAAGTAAACACAGTTTCTACAAAAATCTTCTATGATAATTTACCATTACAGATGTGTATAAAAAAGGAATATTATAGCCATCTTCAAAAGATTGTCCTCCATTTTTGAATTTCTATTTAACACTTTATTTTTATTAATGTTGCTAGGTATCATTGAATCAATTTAACTACACCCATGAGGAAAAGCTGACAATTCATTTCCATTATGGTGGTGGCCTGGTGACACAAAATCTTACCTGCCAGTCACATCAAATATTCTCTTTTTTTTTTTTTCTGTTAAAAAGAGTCTTTCTGAAAATCTTTCTTCTCTGTCTTTCTTTTAACAGGTGCTGCTTTCACCAGTTATTTCTGGACATATGAATGCTGAAAAATTGCTTCTGCAAGACCAGAATTGCTTTTCACCTATTAAGAAGCAAGAATTGGTCTCACGAACTATAAAGACAATATTAAATTGGACTTTTCTTTGCTATGCAGCAAAGGAGAATTTTCCATTCAAAAAAAGTGTGGAGGATAGGCCAATGTTTCTAAATCACACATAATTAAGTAAAATGGCCTGCAAAATTGTGAGTTTTATATGACTTTTACTTGGAATTTTATACCTTCAGGGGGCAGAAAGGGGTGCAGAAAAGCAGCACTGGTATAAACATGACTGAGAATAGCCTGTAGCATAATAGATAGACCACACTATTGTTGCATAAAACAAAATTTTCAGCAAAATACCCCTGCTCTGCAAGAAATTCTGTTCCTATCAGGGGAGGATAGTGGAAGAGCTCAGAAAAGTGGCTGACAAAGATGTAACAGGTGGATTTTTCTCAACAGAGGGTTAACTTCACTCTTTCCTGTGCAAACCTGAGCTCTGAATTGCTCTGAAGTTCTGCTGTCACTTGTGCCTCGCTGTTCTGATCATTTAACCCAAAGGCCTGCAAGGCACCCCCGGCCAAGGCACGAAGAAACATCCCTCCCCTCTGGATGACGAAGGTGTCCTGGCAGATTGGCAGAGCACCGCTTGTGGCAGGTGATATGTGTGTTAACAATGGATTACAAAGCCAAGGCACTGTGCTTTCTTACACAGAGAAATTGCAAGAAAACGATCAGTCAGGTCTGCTGAGGGAATCTGAAAGAGATGAAACCCAAGTACCTTCAAAAACTCCTTTTCTTTAGGCTCTGCATGCAAGTGCACATTGTACGGCCTCCATGGATAAACGATGCTGGTTAAAAGCAAGGAAAGAAGATCCTTCTAAAGTGACATTATTACAGATGGCCACTGTGGGAAAGGGATTCATTTGCCATCCCTTATAAATACAGTGGCTACACTTTACACATCACAAGGCTTTTCTTACATGCCCCAAAGGGTTGTGTAATTCTAACAAAAGCTTCTGTTGCTCTGGCCCAGGATAGTTGGGATTTGAAGAAGTTTTTACAAGGTCTTGTCTGGTTAAAATACATTTTATTAAAAGCTCAAGTCTGCTACTGCTTGCTATGCTGAGAGATGTTGTGGGCAGTGAGGAGAAAGGAAAATTAGGCAATGGAAATTTGATAGGTTGACAGACTTGATTGAAAATAAAAATGCATTAGGCCTTTCTTTTAGTCCTCTCTTAATTTTTCCACTGTCACTTTTCTAGAGGGTCGAACGTGTGTCATGAGTTAGTTACTAAAATAACAATGTGCACTAATAGAGATAGATTCACCAATCAGGTGTTATTTCAACGTTTTTATTAACACTTTCTATTATTACTACTACTATTATTATTATTATTATTATTATTATTACTCTTGTTGTTGTTGTTGTTGTTATTATTATTTTCTAGTGGTCTTTTAACTGTTCCATATATCATGTTAAAAAAAAAAATCAATCTTGTGTATTAGAATTCCACAGATGTACTCTTCAAAGAAAACTTATATTTAAATACGGCTTTTACCTCTGTACAGGTGTGTGCACTGGAATCAGCAGACTCCACTCTTGCAAGAGTGAAAGTAGCTTCTCAAATGTTTAGGACACACCTAGTGAAGTGGCTTCTGCAGTTCAGTTGCTGGACCAGCAGAGTAGGATGTATGCAACTTGATTAAACTCTCTGTCTTGGTATTCTCATGCAGAATGGCAGAATCATCAAGGTTGGAAAATACCTTTAATATCATTGAGTCCAACCATCCACCCAGCACTGCCACTGTAACCAGTGAACCACTAAACCACATCAACCACCACCAGATCCAGATGCCTCTTGAACACCTCCAGGGATGGTGACCCCAGCACTTCCCTGGGAAACCCATTCCAATGGCTGACCACCCTAACAGTAAAAATGTTTTTCTATTATCTATCATGACACTGACAGCAAAGAAGAAAAAAGAAAGATAATACAGTCTGCCTGTTAAAGCTGGACCAGCAAATAGCAAAGAAGATTTCCAAGGCAGGGAAACCAGAGAGCAAGAGGCAACGTGAACCTGCAGCCCAGTGAAAAGAGAACTTGATTTGATTTGGAGCAAGGGTGGGAACTCATTTCTCACCCTGCCTTTCTCTCCTCACTAAGCTATGTGCAAGGCCTTCCTTATCCTGAAGATGTCAAATTTTCTTCCCTGCTGTGGCCCTCTAAAAGGCAGAGTGGGGAGGAAAGGCACTCAAAAGTCAGATTAGGTGCCTAAGAGAAAAAGGGAGTTCATCCTGGCATTAGGAGAGAGCTGAATTCGGGAACATCCCCTGCCATATGTTTACTTTGTGGCTGTGTTTCCCTCAGCCCATCTTATCAGCAGACAGGCTTTTTTTCAACCCATTTCTGACTCACCACACAGAAAGAAGAAGTTGCTAACTTTCATGTATGGGTTTTAGGATCTGGCTCCAGCAATAAAGTTTTGTGGATCCAAATGAGTAAGAAGCAGCACATCAAAGAGGCCATGCTTTTTTATTACTGGGTATCAGGAGCCATTTTTGTGCCCTTTGGTCATCTGCCAAAAGTAATGCTTCAAGGCCATCAACATACAGCAACTATTGACAGCCACTCTTGCCCACCTGAGAGCAGAGAGTCATCTCAGACCTTCCTGGTCTATTCTATTTCCCCCACATTTCCTTTCCTTTATATGAATATATCCATATTGCACTTATACAGGAGGCAACAGCTTAGCATATCTGCTCTCATGCTTCTTCCCGTTTCTTTGTCACTCTTCTGAAGTGCATTCCAGCTCCTTACCCTGCTTGAACTGACTGGAATAATGAGGAGTCTTATTCAACATCTTGGCTGGTTTCTGCCTTATGTTTCACTTCTTAATGAGTGGAAAGGGTCAAATTACTGGTATAAATTCACTCCAATAGCTGGTCTGACTATCCATACTTTCAGGCAGTGCTACTTACTTGGACCAATTACATTCTTCTAATTTGCTTTTCCTTGCCTGTGTCAGTGTCTCTGTGCCTGACAGCTTCTTACAGTTTCCACTAATATATCCCTATCCAGCAGTTCTGACCCAAAGGTGCCCTCCCCTTAGGAGAATTCAAATGTCTTCATTACATTACTGGAATAATTCTCTGGCTTCTTTCACTGTGAAATGTAGTCAGCCTCTTTCCCCATCACATAGAGGAGAGAGTGTGCCCAAGGGACACACTTCTCTTGGTCTGCTTTGGGAAGTGCAGCTTCCTATGGCACGCTGCAGACACACATTTACTGACTGCAGGGCTCAGAAAATTAACTCAGAAGTACAATGAGATCATTGGAGGTGATAATTCTGCCCCCCACCCCCCCAGCTGAGAATCACAAATGTAAAGCAAAGCAACAAATGAAGAGTACACATCCATTTGTTAGACTACAATTTGAAGTGTCTTCTAATTTAACCCTCACTCTCTAAATCCTTGATCTATGTTTGGAAACACAAAAAAATCAGAAAAGGTTAAAAATTACTGAGAGAGACACTTTTGTAGGTCAAAATTAATTTTTTCATTGATTTTCTGTACTTACCTTAGACTTTCTTGTGCATGTCAGTTGTACTCGTGTCTGTGAGTCGAAATGGGCACACATTTCTCCTTATCTCTACCAGGAGAGTAGCAGCTCTCCATCAGTGTCACATTGGTCTGGTTATTATCCACCCAGACTTGTGCCCTATGGAGGTATCCTTTTGAAAGATGTGGCCTTTCTTTACTGGCTACTTCTTGCAGACAATTGCTAGTTTACAAATCATTGTTATTCTCGGGGATACTTGCTTACTTTTCTAAGGTACTAACTTTTTGGTTCTCCTTGGAAACCTATGGAGGTTCATCAGGAAATTTGCATATGTAGATTTGAAAAGAGAGCAAGCTCCCTGTTTAGAGAGCAGAATAACAACATCATCAGTGGATTATGTTGGTTTAAACTGCTTTCTGTGGTGTTAGGTTCACAGTAGATGCTATAATTGATGCAAGATACTTGGTGCCAAGTGGAAATAAACAGTCATAATAAAAAACAAATGAATAAGCACTTTTAAAAAAGAAAAAAACAACAAAAAAACCACAGACAAGAACAACAACAACAAAAAAGAAAGCATTTTCACATAGTTCTACAGGCTGAAATGAGATTTCGATTAGAGGATGATGGGCTAGACAGGGATGACTAAGGTTATTAAACACATACAGCCTCCTTTACTTGAGTAATTTGGCATTGGTTTTCCAGTCAAGGAGGAAATATTAGTAGAAGATGATGCTGCAAAAGCATAACAAACCTGAATATGTAATTTTTTACAGACTAGAAAGGTCATTCAGGGATCTGCTGAGAACACTACATTGCTCTTTACTGAACTGGATAACACACACAAATTCTAGTTCCATCTGCACTGGGCACCCAGAGATAAATATAGGATTGGAATATGATAGTTGTCATTGTAAAGCCTTTTCTCCAAAGATAAAAGAGCTTCAGAGTCACTAGTGAATGAGACCATACGTGGTATTCCACTGAAAAAGCTTTGCAAGACAAAACACAGGAGCAGCAGCGAAAAGGACTCACAGAGTTTCCTCTTGCTTTGAGAGGTGTGGTGGAGCTGTGTCCAGTTGTGGTTTCTTACAGAGCCTTTTATCAACAGCAAGCAAAACATAATGGCTGCGGAAAGAGATGCTGCACACAACAGGACTAGGAAACCTCACTCTATTTTGGGCTGTATGGGAAGCTCTGTCTGTGCCTTTTTTCTCAATCCCAGGCAAGATGCTCCTTAAGTCCTGAAGGACACGTGTGGCCTGAGAGTTGGGCCTGGCACAAGGGACAAAGTCTCATTTTCGATGCCCAGAAGCAGTGCAGAAAAACAATCCTACACAGAAGTTAGCCGTATAAACTGTATCATTTTGGCAAGTCAGTAGCAAAACTAGAAACAGAATCTCATTTTTCTTCCTCTTTTTTTTCTACAAAAGCACAATTAATTAAGATGTTCACTACAAAGGAAACACATATTTGCAAATTCCAAAGCTTTCTTCAATAGTGCTCTGTCTCCGGTGGAGTCAATGGATGGGCAGCAGGGATGAAATTTCTCTTGATCTAATTCAAAGCGCAAGACAGTGCCTCGTTAGACAGCCATTTGCTAAGGAGTCCATTTTCACTTTTCTCTTTGTTCTTCTTCTTTTATTC